TGACTGGATTTAATACATTCTCAAACATTTCGCCGGCCTCGTTGTCGGCATCATCAGTGAGCCTAGCCATTCTCCGCCTCTGAAAAGCCTAATTATAAATTCATATTTCAGAGGTAAGGCATACTCAAGATATATTTTCTTCCATAGGTTTTCTGTTTCTACAAAAATCTGATTGTTCTTTAACTCACTCAGTTCTCTGCACATCCATGATTTCGAAGGTTCAAACAACTCTGTTTTTATTTACTTGAGCCACTTTTTCTCTGTTATGCGTAATGAGAGCTATGGCTACATGTTAGCAATCGATGAGTTTAAATGGACTAACGATAATTTATTAAGGTATGAAGACCAGGATGGTGTGGCCTTTTGTGTGGTCGCAGTTTCCTTTCGGTGTATAGAAGTTGTTTGACCTTGTTTTCGCAACTTGGCCATATTGGAAGAAAGACTTAGAGGAATCCACTCTTGTCAGAACTCCATTGTATGCATCATCATTTCCAGAGTAGGACCATGGACGTGGTACATTCCCAGACGTTTCGCCGTTTGTAGCACTATATTACAACTCGTCAGAGACAAGTAAAGCCCATCCTTTGACCAAACGTGCTAAACGGTTGTGGTAGTATCTTCCCTTCTGCCCTGGGCTATTCACATTTCCTATATCCTCCTATCATGTCTTCCCTGTTACAGTTTTAACCGTGCTTATTTTTAATGTAGTGTGGTGTGCCCCTTCGAGAGGCATTCATGAAAACCCTTCACACTCCACATTGTCGTTATCACCCTCCATCCTATTACTGGAAATGTTGACCAGAGTCTGTCATATTGTCTGTCATATTGGGTCTTATCGAAGTCTCCCTCTTGCTCAGTCGAATCCGTCTGCTATCTCCCTGGTACATGTACTTCACTCGACCTCTGTCCCCCCCATCTGTGCTATTCAAAGCGTAATTCGTCCATTCCCTGCACCTGGGCGATTGATTAGAGGCTTTAGCCTCAGAGTAAATCTCATTGTCATGCCTTTGCTACATGGATCACGTCTCTTGTAAAACATGCTGTCAGCCAACTAGCTCCAATTGCCGCTTCGTCTATCCTGTCTCTATCCCTAATACCAAGTCTATAACTTGCCATGCCCTAGTTGCTTGTGTGCCAACCCACAAATGTTGTAGTACTGCTGGCTTTGTTTAGGCTTAATGTTGAACCACAACGTTTGTGGGTTGGCACACAAGAGACTATGACATAGCAACTTATAGACTTGGTATTATAGATAGAAAGAGGATAGAAACTGTGGAAGCTAGATCTAGTTGGCTAACAATAGTCGTAATTAAAGGATCATGTTTGAAATCAAACATGTCTATTGCTAGCCAAATAGCTTTAATCTTTCCTGTTTCTATCTGTAATACCGTGTCCATCGCTTCCTATGTCCTAGCCCACAAATGTCGTGGTTCTATTTGTTTTGATTACGCTCACTGAAGACGTCTCCTTGCTTCTGATTGTTGCTTTCTCAATCCTGCGAACTCTTTTCCTAAAATTAAGGATATTACCTCGATCCAGTCGTCTTCTTTTTGCTGATCTTACTGTTGCCTAGTCTTCTCCGAG